AAACAAGAGGACGCTTTTTCTGTCCTAAAAAAAATCCAAGCGGGAGTTCCGCAAGGTAGTGTATTGGGACCAGTTCTTTATCTCTTATATACTAGTGACCTACCAACATTTAACGAAAATATTGTTGCTACATTTGCTGATGATACTGCAATTTTAGCCGTTGGCGACAATAATATTGAGTCAACAGAAAAATTACAAAAAGCCATTGCAGAAGTACAACGCTGGACAACTACTTGGCGCATTAAGCTGAATGAAACCAAATCAGTGCATATCGATTTCACCAATAAACGTATACAGCACAAACCAATATTTATGAACCAAAAAAATAGTTCCGTATGAGAATACAGCAAAATATCTTGGTATGACCCTTGATACTAAACTTAGGTGGAAATCACATGTCAAAAAAAAACAAGAAGAATTAAAACTTAAGTACAGAAAAATGTACTGGCTATTAGGCAGATATTCTGCCTTGTCAATATACAACAAGCTACTCTTGTATCAACAAGTCCTTAAACCGATCTGGACTTATGGTATTCAACTCTGGGGATGTACCAGTCAAAGCAACAGATTAATTATCCAAAGATTTCAAAACAAAGTACTTCGTGGTATTGTTAATGCACCCTGGTACATTCGCAATGACAACTTGCATACGGATCTGAATGTAGAAACTGTTGACACCGTCATCAAAAAGTATGCTCAAAGTCATGCACAACGACTTCAACAACATATCAACATTGAGGCTCTCCAGCTCCTTAATAATGATGGCCTTACCAGAAGATTAAAGCGAGTAAAACCTTTCGAACTTGGGTAAACAAAAAAAAAAAAAAAAAAAAAAAATGAACTATAAAATATAATAATCATTGTTCAGGTCTCACTAAAATAGTGACTATAATACATACATATGTATAAGTTTAACATCTGAAATGAATATCATAGGATAAGCATTTTGTAATTTTAAAACCGTATAAATTTAAGTCAGAAACAAATAGTTTATTAGTATTAATTTACTAGATTGCTATAAAATAAATTCCCCAAAGGGGTGTTTTTACAAAATAAAAAAAATAACAAAAAAAAAAAATTCTATCCTCTGTGGCAAAACTTTTCGACCCCCGCATTCCTAATACAAGAATTATGGTTAGATGGAACCGACTGGGACGAACAAGTAAAACCACTTCGTTTAGAAAAGTGGTCCCAGTTTGCGAGCAATCTAAATGATATCTCACAGATACAAATCCCACGATGGGTAAATTATGCCCCAGAGCACAAAGTCGAACTACACGGCTTCTGTGACGCGTCTGAAAAGGCATATTGTGCAACTATATATGTTCGCACACAAAGCGACACTGCGACCACAAGCCACTTACTAGTAGCAAAAGCAAAAGTGGTTCCTCTAAAAACAATAAGTCTACCACGACTTGAACTATGTGGAGCGCTATTACTAGCCAAACTAGTGTCCATCGTACAAACGCATTTAAACATGGCACAATATAAATTATATCTATGGTTCGATTCCGAAATTGTACTAGCCTGGTTAGAAAAACCACCACATGCATGGAAGACGTATATTTCCAACCGAAAGTCTCAAATACTTGACCTAGTAGGATCAGCCACTTGGCGACATGTAGCCAGTGCTGACAATCCTGCTGATCTAGGTACAAGACGGTGCAAACCCCGGTACTTTGTCACCACCACCCTCTGGTAGAATGGCCCCCGATGGTTAACAGAATCTCCTAATATACGAATCTGACAAAGGAGGCTTTTCTCGCAGCATTTGCTCGCTTCGTCGGACGACGCGGTTTTCCGTCAAAACTCATGAGCGACAATGGCATTTATAGGAGCTCAAAGAGCCACAGAAAAACAGTTCGTGAATTTTGTCAAACAAGTCTCACCTGAAATTGTACAAAAGTACGCTCCACAAGGTATTAACTGGCAGTTTATAGATATCCATACTCTATTCCACTGAATCGTAACTAAACACGCCCTTTTCTCCATACATGTAGATATGGATACAGAAATGCATTCCACCCCAACGCCAACGATGCGATCGTCCATCAGTGTGCCTCGCCCTGGGGTTATGCCAACCGCGGCGCCCCGAACACCAGCCGCAACCGCATCGTCAACCACCGCTCGTAATGGTATTCGAGCATCCGCAGCCGTTCCGTCTCCACCAGAGGCGCCCCATCGCATCCGATGCCTTTTGTTGCCGTCCACACAAGTTGCAGCACTGTGGGCCTTTCAAGGGCATGTCGCTGACACAACGCCAGCAGGTTGCCCAGGCGCATGGGCATTGTCACAATTGTCTGGCACATAGCCATACGACACAGGAATGCGACTCCGAGGCTTTGTGTCAAATGTGTTGCAGGCAGCATCACACGCTGCTTCACCGTACCCCGAGACGAGAGGTCAATCGGCAGCCTGCCCAACGCATCCGCGGCACAAACCGACCGCAGCAAACCAACCGTGTGACACGTCGCCGAAGAACGGCACCCCGTCCTGAGTCCCGTCCATGGCGTCTACAAAACACAACACCGACTAGGTGTAGGCCGCACTATAGTCGGACGTTCGGACTCAGCAACGTTGCAACAGCTACAGCGACTGCTAGGCTGAACATTCGACTAGGGGGGCCGGGATGGCTAAATGAGATAAGCTTCCCGTCCCGAAAAACACAACACACCACTCACAAAACAACACTGGCACACACCCCACACCTGGAAACATCAGAACACTCATACACCACGCAACACATACAAATGCATTAGACTACTGGAAGCAGCCGCACACACACACACATAGTAGGATCTCTACACAACACACAGTACAAAACATCTGTCCTCGAAGCGGACAGCCTCTTCTCTCAGCGACTGTCGAGTAAAAAGCACCGAACTGTTTTTAATAACCGTGTCGTACAGATTTTTATCTTCTGCTGGATCTGGAATTTCAGCGCTAATTATGTTATCGATTTGATTAGGAAGTAGCGTCGGTTTTAACCAAATCAATATGTGCACATGTGGTAGACCTCTTTTTTGCCATTCAACGGAGTACATATGGCACTGGACGTCTCCAAATATTTTTCCTTTAGTCACAACGTTCATTAACTTCTGAACCTTTAAACGAAATACGCGAGCAACTTTATCGTGACGATCAGTGGCTTTTTGACCAGGCATAAGTTCTTGAGTTACATTCTGCCACGAAGGGAACGGAGACTGTTCGCAAAAGTGGACGGCAGAATAACCATTTTGCCATTGTCATCTGCGTTAATCGCAGATGTAGATGCATGTAATTTTCAGCTCGTACTTTTTCCTAATTTAGAGAAATGTAACTAAGACGTTCACTCTCTACTTTAATATACATACATATCTATTAAAAATTGATTAAAGAGTTGCCTTGTACGCAGAAGAAGATTGAGGTCATGCTCAAAGTCCATACAGAAAACTTTTTTATTTGGAATTGGCTCATTATTTGTTGGATTGACGACTAAATATTAAAATGATATCCTGATTAACCTTTACTGAAAATTAATTGATACTGCAAAAGCATCATAAAATTTATGAGTGTCAGCTACGCGTTTTAACGCATTATCATGTGCTCCTAACACTATGTCTCGAGGTATGTCACCAGTAACCAAAACAGCAACTTCATTGTTCATCAGTGCATTATAACGCCTCTCATGTTCACCACGTGGAGTTCGATCAGCATGAATGACAACTTTGTAATTATCTGAAGGCCAGTTGTCTACCGCACTTCACCAAATCATTGTGACTGTGTAACATGCGTTGAATTTTTAACGACGATTTACTTCATTTTGTTCATCACCCATAAAATACACCTGCAAAAATGTATGCTGATCATTATTTCCTGGAAATAGAGATCCAATTTGATGATATATCTGTCCCTGTACAGTAAAGGTTGGTGAAAATCCAGGCATTCTTATCACTTTACCAACTACAAAGGATGTCATTTGAAAGCAAGACTTCCTTATTTTACTCAGAAATCATCTTGACTCATCTGTGACACTAAACAATAAAGTTTTTAAAGGTCCTTCTGGTTCACCAAGTAATGGAAGTGAAACCAGTGCTGCAGCACATTCCAGCAGTTTCATATTTCCATTTAAAAGCATCACAATACTGACATTTTTGATCCATTGATCCAATAACAATTAAGGGATGATTAGAATACTCAACTGAAGGATCATATTCAAAACTAGTACCATTAAAACAGACCAATCCTTAGTAATGAAATTTTGACGACACCTGGTCCTTACTTCTGCACCATGAATTCTTCTTGCCTGCAATTGTTCTGACGTTTCCGTCGCTCTTCTGGCTGCCTGCTGCATAGCTTGACTATCTGAATACACTCGTGTCTGAAGAGAAGTTTCAGCTGCTCTCAAAATACGTTGTCGCTCTGCTTGCTGTTGTCTTCTTAGCATTGCGTGAACTTCAGATTCTTGATTTTGTGCAACTTTAGCTTTACGGACCGACGAAGAATTTCTTGATAGCGCAGATTTCCGCTTTCGAGGCATTTTTAAAGAAGATAAGAGTAACATCGGCATCCACATGCATATAGTGACAGAAGAAATAACTATGAATAAAAATTCAAAATAGCTGAAGGTACAATCTATAGAAGTATAGTGTTTAGTCTCCGTAGTTTAGTATATTAGGTTGGATGTTGTCGTGGCTGTCGGTAATATAGTGTAATGGTATTATAATATTCAGGCTTGAGCCAGTAGCCAGATTAAGAGGTTATATTCACAAAAAATTTCTTTATTTTAATTAAAAAATGATTTTTTTTATTGAATAAAAAGTAACCTATTTTCATTCTGACACCTCCAAGAGTATGTGTACAAAGTTTCATGATGATCGGTTAAGTAGTTTTTGCGTGAAAGCGTAACAAGCAAACGGACTTTAAGTAGGGATTACAATTCTTATTTTGAATAAAATGATATTCGAACTAAATCTTCTGCGGACAAAAGAAATAAATATGAAAGCCTCTTAATATTTTATGTAAATATAAAGAATTATAAGTAACTCAATTTTTATTAGAATTAATTTATGTATATATTATTAGGTTTAATACCGCTAAATGTCATTAAAAATTTAAATTAAATATTTTTGAGTATCTTACACATATCGTATATACTCATTTAAACCGAGCGCTATTGCAACTATCAAAATGATTTCAAAATGAAAAGGAATGCAAAATTTCGTAGCAGCGAATAGCACAGTCCCTTCATCTTTCCTCGTCGGCTCCTCGCCTTCCAATAAACCGGTTTAGGTTACAAAAGAGTCCGTGTGTGAACTGGCACTTACTTGTACGTTTATACAATGATCAAGTGTTACAAATGGCAGAACTAGTACGAGGAGAAGCATCCGAGTCCGATGAAGAAACCCATGTAACTAAATTGTTGTGCACCTTTTAATTGAGATTATAACTTTATAAATTTATTATCAGACCAAAATATTCGCATCAGAAGTTTCCGGCGAAGCCACTGAATCGGATGAAGGTAAAACACTAGATACAATGTTTGCCCAAAATCTAATATATATATTTTTTCTGTAGATTTATTCGAAAAAAAATCACCAGTAATGGAAAATGGAAACGTTATAACAGAATCGCGCTATAAAAATAATTTATTGCAACGAAAATTAAGTATTAATTCCATAAACCAAACAGTCCGGTATTCAAATTTTCACATTATTTCCAGTCGACAATAATATTGGAATTTACAAGGGGTTGTCAATGTTTGTGAAAAATTTAGTAACAAATGTGTCAAAACATTTATTAAATACTGACCAACTTCTCATAAAATCACAGGTAATAAAAAGTTTTGGTAAATGTATAGTTTAGGTCCTCCGATGAAGGAGGCCGCGAAAATTATTTTTTTTTTTAATCGTCTTATTTTGACGCAAAGATTACAAATCCGTGAGCGGAAAATGAATTTTTTAATAATTTATGTATACTTTTATATAAAAATATATCTAACACACTGTGCACATATTTTTCAAGTAACTTAGTTGTTGTTGCGACAGAATTCTGTAGAATTCAGATCACTTACTAACTCCCCGGTTTTGAACCGACCAGGGTTATGTTGAGGAACCTAAACTATACATTTACTTTATTTTTTTTGGTAAAATTTTTGATTATTAAAATTTAGAAGATTGCAAAGTTTAAAAAAAAAAAGTAAGCTAGTTTAATTTTTATGTGGCGCGAAGTTTTTTAACCAAGCATAAACTACTTTTGATTAACTGAAAGGAAAAGGGAAATGTGCAGTAATGTGGTAATATCTGAATTCAGATATACACTTTTGCTGACATAATTAAGCCACTGCATGGAAAAATTACATTTCAGAATATAAAGGCATCGGAGTATATTTGCGTTTGTATAACAGTATGGAAAAATGTTCTTTTATCAGTTCGAAATTGCTAAGAACGGATTCAGAGAAATAAGCAATGTGGTTGGGGAAAAAATTTAAATTGTTTCGCCATTGTTCTAGTTGGGTGTGCGCACATAATTAAACCATAAGGAAAGTCGATATTGAAACGAATGCAAAAATATTAAGAAAGTAAAAGTATATTGTCCACTAATTTAAATACTACTAATAAAGAAAAATCATGGGTGCGTTCGAGCTACGTAATAATTGCAGCAGTACAGCTACTGTGTTGCATATTTGCTGATATTCTGCTGATGTGTAGACGAAAATTTAGTGTTGCCGATTATTTGCATAAATTGCGTGCAGAAAGTGACAGTAGAACGTGATGCTGTTGCAACTGTTGCCAAAAATTCACGCAGAACGTGAGACTTTGACAAATTTACAACATTGCGGTCGTGATTGCCATCTCGAACGCATCCCATATGAGAATGCAAAATTGCTTAAGTAACCGTAACGGTAAAGAAAGATTAAGATTGTTGTGCAAAATTTTGGGAAACATAAAACCATTGACTATCTGCTCCATAAAAACCGAAAAATACAACATTTAACGACGGTAAACAAATATTACGGAAGAGAAAGGTAGATCCTTTTTTGACAAAATAATGCATTGTATAATTTAACGTTATAGAACAATTTACTACTAACTGTTTTGTTTTTGCGGGCGAATAAAGAAAAAAAATGTTAAAATTAAAACCAAATAGTTTAATAATATAATATATATAATAACCACATCATTAAAATATATAGAAAAATGTATTATATTATTGCCAGCATGAGTACATTATTTGCCCTAATCTCTAAATTTAATGCAAATTTAGTAGGTTAGGTTAGGTTAGGAGGTCGATACCAAGAAGGATCCCACTTGGACACCTTAAGACGCCGGTGCGTTGTGATACCTACAGTCTGGATCAAAAGACCCTTATAAGTCGACGAAACGATTTGTGCTTGCAACAAACTTGTTAAGGCGGCCAATCTCCATTCAGTATTCAGGTCCGCCAAAAGTGTTATTGCCGAGATATTTCAATCTCAGCCTATCGAAAGCCGGACATTGGAGGAGAAAGTGCCGGGATGTTTCCACTTCGCCCTCCTCCATGCAGCTTTGGCAACTAGCATCGGATAGTACTCTCAGCCCTACCACATGAGTGCCCATTGGACAGTGTCCAGTGAGAACTCCTACCATAGCGGCGAGATGCACTTTGCTCAGGGCGAGAAATTCTTCCGACCTCCTGCGCTCCACTCTTAGCCAGAAGGATCTCGCGGTCGCACAGGAGTTGGTCGTCGACCAACGGTGCCCCCTCCTGGCCAGCTCATCGGCCTTTCAATTCCCAGCGATTCAGCTGTGACCAGGCACCCAAATGAGCCTGATATTGAAGTAGCCTGATGCTAATTCTAGCAAGGACAGACACTCCTTGACTAGCTTTGAATGCACGGTTCGCGCACTCAGGGCTTGTATTGCCGCTCTGCTGTCGGAGTGAATGCTCACCTCTCCAAACAAAGCTACACTACGTAACAGTACTTCTACCGCCACCTTGATCTCGGCCACTTCCGCCTGAGAAACACTACAGTGGTCCGGTAGCCTGAAGCTAAGATTTACGGAGAGCTCCTTGCAGAAAACCCCCCCTCCAACCTTCCATCCATGAAAAAGCTCACCGTACCTCTTCTCCAGCGGCTTCTTCCCATCCACATGTCCCTCGTTGGAATATGAGCCGCCTCAGTGACGCAGTGATCTAAATTTTCCGGAATGCATCTGAAGGAGGAAAGAATTTCGGAGTGTCCTTGTTCGGACCTCTTGATAACCCCAGATTCCCTGAGTCTTAGAGCACACTTCGCAGCAATGTACTTACTAATAAAATAGCATTAAGAGCTATTGCAGGTGTGGTCCGCAGTGCACCGGAGATTCCGATGAGCGCCGCTCTTTGGACCCGCTCAAGCTTTTTAGCCAGTGTGAACCTTTCGAGCGCCCTCCACCAGACGAACACACCAACTACGGTTTCGTAGAGCCAGAACACCACCTTAGGTGAGAATCCCCACCTTTTCCCTATAGCCCCTTTGCAGCAGTATAAGGCGACCGATGCCTTCTTAACTCTCTCCTCAATGTTTGGTCTCCAGGAAAGTTTTCTACCGAGGAAAAGCCCTAGGTATTTCACTTTATCAACAGGTTGAAGAAGTAAACCCCCGAAGAAGGGGAGAGGCACATTTGGGATCTTATAACTCCTAGTAAATACAACCATTTCGGTTTTACTTGGGTTGACGGCTAGGCCGCTTCTATTCGCCCAGGTAGATACCATTTTCAGGTACCCCTCAGTGAGCTCATAGACGGTATTCAGGAATTTTCCCTTAACCATAAGAACCACATCATCAGCATAGGCTGTCACCCGACAGCCTTGCGTCTCGAGTTCTATAAGTAGGTCGTTTACCACCAATATCCAGAGCAGTAGGGAGAGTACTCCCCGCTGCGGAGTTCCCCTTTTCTGGTTGTCTTGGCACCACCCCACACCGCTGCGACAGTTCTGTCGCAAAGAATACTAAAAATGAGGTGCTTGAATTTCGATTCCACCTCAAACTTTTAGAGGGCTTTAACCACTGTCTCTGGTCGCACGTTGTTGAAGGCCCCCTCGATGTCGAAAAAGGTGCCCACAGCAAATTCCTTGTGCTTGAGAGCTATCTCCAGCCATGACACTACATCATGCAAAGCAGTGTCGACCGACTTGCCTTTGATATAGGCATGCTGCACCCGTAACAGTTTACCCCTCGGTATTCTGTTCCTAATGTACAGATCCATAAGCCTCTCCAATGTTTTCAACAGAAACCAGCATAGGCTGATGGGTCTGAAATCTTTTGCACCGACGTGAGAGCTTTTGCCGGCCTTCGGGAAAAAAGTAACCTTAACCTGTCTCCAGACCTTCGGGACATGGCCCAGTCTAACACAGTTTGCGTAGATGGGGGCCAGCCAGCTGCATGACACAAATTTAGTAAAAAATAATAAAATTAAAAAAAAAACTAATAACAAGCTTTGCAACCTCACTCCGCCATCGTTACATATGAAAATGTAAAAAGCATAAACTTTTTTGTGATGCGTGATTTTCTCTGTCACTGCGCATCGAGTGCCGGTTTAATGAAGTTCAAAACATGATGCAATGAGAATATTATACTTTGTTCTTCATTGCAATTGATGTTTTCGAATTCAGCCGAGGACTCGAAATTGTTGGATCTAGTGGTTTGGGGTAGAACCATTTGTACAAGTTAAGGCAAAATAAATAGCAGTATTTACACACATTTCAGCAAATATTTAAATGGAAATTACGCCGATGTTTTACCACTAACTTGGATTTTTGAGAATGATAATGACCTAAAGCACTGTTTCAGGGTAGTTAAGGACTGGCTTGCAGTGAACCATATCAAGTGTCTCTAGTGGGATGCCTAAAGCCCGGACTTAGACCCCATTTAGAATCCATGGGAGATCTATAAAAGAGCAGTTGTAGCGAGAAAATCTTCGTATAAGTTTACATTGTGGTAAATTCTAAACCCGGAACAATGTATCACACTTGTTTGTACAAAGGGCAAACTCTGCAGGGAAATGATTTTGCAAAAGAGGTCCCCAACAAAGTACTAGACTATATCTTTCTGATTTATCAATAAAACTCAACGTTCACGTGGCTTAATTGTGTGAGCACAAGTGTGTGTTATACTACAAAAGAGTTGTTATTAAAAGTGCTTAGCTGTAATAAATTTATTTGTAAATGTTATCCAGAAGCTAATTTTAATATTTTCAAGAAGTATACATACTAATAACATATTTTCTGACGTATAAATTTGATTAACAAAAAAAATATTTGCAATCTCCATTGTAAGAACAAATATAAAAAAAACCCTTTCTTTACTTCCTTTTAGTTAACTATGCAGTCAGTTTTATGCTCTTTGAAAAATTCTCAGGTCAGTATGAAGCAACTGCATGAAAAACACAAAGATATTTTTACAAGCAATTTTGTACCGGATATCAACCACTAAGTTTTCAAAAATAAAAATAAAATATTAATCGAAATTTTACACATGGAGCTTTATTTATATTATATTATTCTGTGTCCGAATCAAGTGCAAATACTTGGCCACTCGAAGTTTCCTCTAGCATATATGTTGATTGAAAACAGCGGAAAAATATAGATCGCAAGTTAGTTCTTCCTTGGCGCTTTGGTGATTCAGGAATAAAATCGTCGTTATCTGAGTTATCTATAACTTTACTGACAACAGGCTCACCATTCTTATCCAACATCTGCATTCTATTTGTTTCCCCAGATACTGTTGGCAGTAAATGACTAATTTCATTGAGGCTAGAAGTCGAGACAGATGTATTATGATTACGAGGGACCGCAACAAGCGACGTGTAATTCCGTTTACTACTACTGTTTACAAATGTAAATAAAGATGAACTGTTACTAAGAGTCGTGTCCTCAGCAATGAACTTCTGGTCCATAGCTCTCCTAATATTTTTGCATTGATTAGGTACCTTCGAGGTTTTTAATTTCCGTTTACTTGATTTTGAGGTTGTGCATTCTTGGACTTCACTTTCTTGACAATTGTCATAAAAACTTACCTCTTCTGGAGATAAAGTAGACATGATAAGTATGCAATTAATTTCATCTCTATGGGATATACCCACGAAAACTGGACTAAAAAAATGTATTCAATAGCACGTACTTTGGTATTCATGGCATAAATCTATCGAAAGAACTTACCTTCCGGCCTCATCGAAATGCAAACACAAGCTTTCATTTAACGCCTCAGCAAACATAAGAAACGCTCTTAACTCTTTTAAACAAAATGTTATGGACGTTTCTTTTTCAATTTTGTATGTTTCAAACTCATCGGCGCTATATGTGCAATGAAAATATATTGTAATATTATTTTTGTGAACAATAAATATTATATAATTACTTCAATTGCAATTGAGACCTCATAAATTTTTCATTAACTCTCGATCCTTCAACATAGTTCATAACATTTACTTTCTTCTCTTGTGCTTCTAAAGTAATTTCTTCCTCCGCTGGATTAAAGTTATTGGATATTTCAGTAAATGTTTTATGCGAACCACAAATACTACAATAAAGAAAATGTTTATTACTTTTTAATTTTTACTTTAACTTACGTGTTGCAACTGTTTTCTGGTGTCATATCTGTGGTAATGTTTTCTTCATCATCAACTGAAATAAACGTATTCTTTAATGTTTCATGTTGGCATTTTAATTGTATTTGAAACTTTGTTCTGTCATATAAGAGTGCCATATCACATCGTTCCACCTACATTTTACAGAATAAATTTATGTATATATGTACTATAATTGGATAAATTACAAAATTATCATTTTATGAATATATAATAACTTTCTTATACTGAAGCAATACATATGTTCTAAAACTACTACTTAACTAAATTAAAATATATAAACATTTGACCAAAATCGCTTTTCATAAGGATTTATTGTTCCATGAATACGCTTTCTATTTTCCAATTTTTTTTTAGACTGAAACTACCAGGAGTGTTGCAGAATCTGATAGTCAGATAGGAATCAGAATTGAAACCGAAACGAAATCGTATTTGTTTTGGGTGTCACGGAAACCAATTTTATCGGTTTTGTTATCAGAAACAAACCAAGGGAATTTTTGCTGACAGTTTTAAAATATAAGTTAAGAAAATAATTTATATTATTGTTACGATTTAACTTATCGTTATTTCTATAAGGGAATACATCCCTCCTTCGTTGGGAAGCTTACACTTTACATTTACTAAAAATGTGTGCCAATATATACAATATATACCTGTTTTGTATTTCGAAATACAGTAAGACAAGCCCTCATATCCAGTTTACAAAAACTTTCTTCATTTTGGTCGACCTCGTAAAAATCGAAGAAGCTTCTACTAAAGCGATATGTCCCAACAGCAGATTTAGTTGGATTTAGAGTGCGGAGCTGCATTCCATCAATATCAGCTTCAATAAATAAGTCTCCGCCGAACTTTGAAAGTGATTGCACTGCTTTAGCAAAAACTAGAAAAAATCCAAATGGTTAGTTCATGTACATTCAAATCTAATCTTAAACCTTTTGTATTTCCGCCATCTATTGTACTTTCCATTTGTAAACTAATTGTCAACACTGTATACTGTCACAAAGTTCATCTAAACAAAATTGAGCGAAAACTTCTTACGGGGCATCTCGGCAGGCAATTTAAGATTGCGAAAATTTGTATCGCAAGCAATATTGCCAATGGATTGCTAACGTTTGCCAACTGATATATTTATATTTCATGTCATCCATTGCTAGCAATGAACTCTCATTTTGAAGGTTTGACAGTGCTGCTTTCATTCCCACACAAATTTTAAGGAGGCAACATGTTTGTTGCGTAAATTGCAATTTAGTTAAATAATATTAAAATCAAAAACTTTAACAAAACATGGAATATAGTAATTAAATACATACGGATTTCTCGATAAACCGTCTATCTGTAACTCACTCTTGAGTTCGATCACTGGATTGATAAATAAAAGTTCCAATTTAATGGTTACACACTTATCTTTATTTCTAATTCCAACAACTTAACGCTTATTGCTCGTTATTCGAGCTTACCACTTCTTGCTTATGTCTCAATTGTTCTTATCACGACAACACTCTAACTAGAACTGTGTTTGCTGCACAATCCGGCAGCCCTTATATAGTAAATCTGTAACAAAACATTGCTTCTAGAACATTCTGGCAACTACGAATTCGCTAACTAGTTGCTTCTGGCAGTTTATCGTTGATTCGATTTTGTTCTATTATCCATGTTCCTCACACTGCCCTCCACCTAAGTCTGATCGTCCCGATTAGACATATTTGCGATACCAAACACAAAGCTTTTAAGTCCCCCATCTCGTCTTCTAGGCTGGTGCTGACATCGTTAGCCGTCCTTCTCTTCTTGGAGTTAATTCCATCCGTTTTCCGGATACTCAGTTTCTGGTACATCCCTTGACTTAAAGCTGACTCGAGATTCCCTTCTTGATCAGAACGTAACTCCATTGGAACACCGAATCTCGTTACCCACTTGTTGATGAATGCCTCCGCCACTGGTTCAGTCTCTTAGTTAGGAATTGTATATACTTGTGGCCATTCGTTGAAATGGTCCTTGACTGCCAAAACATGACTATTTCCTAATTTATTGGTGGGATATGGACCATCTTCATACACGCCTATTTTCTCAACTGGCGCACGCTTGTGCTGTTTCATCTGCCCATGACTCCTGGACCTTGATCCTTTAGCTACAATGTCCTCAGCATATTTCGCAATCCTTTCTATAGCTGATAGACAACCAGTCCAATAAAACTTTTGCTTCAAATTCTCCAAGGATTTTATGTCTCTCAAGTGCCCTCCTCTTGGACATTTGTACTGCACGTTAAGAACCTCAGGAATTCCAACCCTTGGAACAACCATAAGTACTCGGAAGGTTTGCCCATTTTCGCTTATCCATACTCGATGCAAGCAGCCATACACTAACTTTAAACTGCTCCGTTCTGCCCAATATGATTTTCTGACTGGCCTTCCTGTAGTTATTTCTCCAATCGTTGTACATTGGTTCAACTCCACTTCATGTAATGCACCTTCCAAATCTGGATCTTCTTGCAAAGAGTCATCCGTTTCAGGTTCAATTTTATGCTGATCTTCCACCTGTGATGGTAAACACGCTTCCTGCTCTTCTAACTGTAAGGACACTTGTGCTGGTATCCAAGCTTCTTGCTCTTCTAACTGTGAGGAACTTTTTACTGGTTCACACGCTTCCTCCTCTTCCAAGTGTGAGAACACCTGCCCTGACATACGCAGTTCCAGCTCTTTCGACTGTGAGGACCCTTGTACTGGTACACAGGCTTCCTCCTCTTCCGACTGTGAGGACACCTGCGCTGGCATACGCCCGTTCAGTTCTTCCGATTGCGAAGACACTTTTGCTGGTATACAAGCTTCTTGCTCTTCATACTGTGAAGATCCTGGTTCACATGCTTCCTCCTCTTCCAACTGTGAGGATACCTGCGCTGACATATGCACGTCGAGCTCTTTCGGTGCTGACAACTGTGCTGAAAAAGGTGCATCTTGCGCTGCAAACTGCTCATCCAAATGCGTTGACAATCGCGTTTCCATTTGAGACATACGTGTATCCTGTTCTTTAAATAGTGTCGACATTTGTGTCGATATTTGCGTTGATAATTGCAATATTGCAGCAAAAACCATGTTTATGTCCACAATCTTTGACGAGCATTTAGCCTCTTCCTTTTCTTCTATCTTTGTTGTCTCTTCTTCTAATTCCATGTGAAAGACATATTCCTCCACATTAATGTTTTCCGCCTCCATGGCCTCTCTCAAACGTGATTGTAATGCAGTTTTGAATCCATTTGTCGCCAAACCCTGTTGCTCCAGCTCCTTTTTCAGTTGTGGAATCCTCAGATCGTTAAATTTGGCCATTTTCAAATAATTATCTCCTTGGGAATTTATTTGACAATCCCACTTCTGACACAAATTGTAACGGATTTCTCGATAAATCGTCTTTCTGTAACTCACTCTTGAGTTCGATCACTGGATTGATAAAGTGCCGTTTCACACAGGGACTCAAAAGAGTCTCATACCAGTTTATTGTGGGCGAGGGGACGACGAGGAAAGACGAAGGGACCGTGCCACTCGTGTTCGGGTGGCACGCTTTGTGTTCTTGTTCGTAACAGCTCGCTGCTACCGTTTTCAGCATTCCTTTTCACTTTCAAACTCTTTGAATGGTTGCAAGAGCGCTCGGTTTCAAATGAATTCGATCGCAAATTTGAGTTCTGTTATCTATTTTTGTATGTAATATGCAAATACGTATGCATAGAATAATAGAAATATTATGACAAATTGTAAATAAGGAGAAAATTAAGATATAGATTATGGAGTAAAGAAATTATGAATTTTTAATACGGAGTAAAGAAATTATGAGTTTTTAATACTTAAAGATTAGGAAATTCCTATTATAAATTTGGCCTTGAAAATATTAGTAGCGGATATTCAATACATTCTTGTGGATTAGGGAATTCCCGTCTTTAGTATTTCTTTGAAACTATTTAGCGGGTAGGTACTTGTATTATGCATATTGTTCTACCATATTCATGGTAATTCATTGCAAGCAAAATGTGTGACCATCATCTCAACATACAAATGAAATACGAAATACGCAGTGTTGCGCTATCGAACCGCACAAATATTTACGAAAATTTTGTGAAAAGGAATGCAGAAAAACTAGACTCGAGTTGCTGGACTCTTTTTGACCGTGTGAATGCCCAGAGCGCCACCAAAAGAAAATTTGAAAAACATCAGACTCTTTTGCATCCCAATGTGAAACGGCACAAATAAAAGTCCCAATTTAATGGCTACACACTTATCTTTATTTCTAATTCCAACAACACAACGCCAAGTGTTTCGGTTGCATTGCTGCTAAAGGGCCGCGGTCCAGGAGTCATGGTCAGATGAAGCTCTACAATTCAGGTGCGCCGTTTGAGCGAGTAGCCATGGATGTAGCTAGTCCATTTCCTATCAGTAAATTAGGAAACAGATATGTTTCGGTAGTCATGGACTATTTCAGCAAATGGCCAGAGGTATACGCAATTCCTAACCAAGAGGCAGGAACAGTAGCGGATGTATTCATCAACAATTGGATATCGAGATATGATGTTCCAATAGAATTACATCCTGACCAAGGGAGAAATTTTGAATCAGCTCCAATACAGGAGATATGCCAGAAGCTGGGTATCCGGAAAACCCGTACAACTGCACTACATCCGCAGTCCGATGGCATGGTAGAACGATTCAATCGAACTTTGGAAGAACATTTGAGGAAAGTTGCGGACAAGTATCAAAAAGATTAGGATACCCATATATCCTTGTTCCTGATGGCTTATCGGTCTGCTGTACATGAAACAACGGGGCAGACTCCAGCAAGGGTAATTTTTGGTAATGATCTTCGACTACCGATTGATTAAAATTTGGAAATAAGGGTAGAGGGCAGTGTGGAGAACACGAATACCAGAACAAATCAGAATCGACGATAAACTGCCAGAAGCAACTAGGCAGCGAATTCGTAGTTGCCAGAATGTTCTAGTAGCGAACTTGTGTTAAAAATTTACTATATAAGGGCTGCTGGATTATGCAGCAGGGACAGTTCTAATTAGAGTGTTGCCGTGTAAAAAGAAATTAAGCTATAAGCAATAAGTTGTAAACTCGAATATCGAGCAATAAGTGTTAAGTTGTTGAAAATAAAAGTAAAGATAAGTGTATAGCCATTAAATTGGGACTTTAATTTAACAATCCAGTGATCGCACTCAAGAGTGAGTTACAGGTAGACAATTTTTCGAGAAGTCCGTTGCAATATATAATGACCACGATCCACGATAGCGTAATTAATAGAACATGTAGGATAAAATAACGATTTAAGTATTTTAAAATCGCGACCATGGGTTACGCGAAAGATTCGGTAAGTGAATCACAACTGTTGCTAGTTATTGCTTCAATGATTACTTTGAGTTATTTCTTTAAAACCATAGAAACTTGTCTTCATTTTTTTTCCACATTAAAATGTCAATAAAATTTTATAAATAAAATATAAACAAAACAAATTTTTTAAACATATTTCTTTCAAAAACTCGATTTATTTCGTATAAATACTGGATCACGATCCAAATATCACAATATATAGTGAACGTGTGAAGGGCGCCTATTAATTATTTATTTTGGCGATCGTATGTTACATACTTTGGAACTTTTGGCAGGCCACGTTTGATAATTAAGCAAGTCCAAGAATAATAATACACAAAATTAATCTTCCACATACAAAAAATAAAAATCTTTAAAGCAAATTACGAAGTTAAATAAATGAGGCTGTTTGCCAAACGCTCAAAAATTTTAATTCTGACTGATGAGAGTGAAATTTTGACACTTTTCGTGGTGAATCCGAATGTTAAAATTTTAACTAGCGCTTGAGATGGGTAAAATTCTGACAACTTATAACTACCTATATAGCTATGCATTCAAGAAGAGAGGAATTTAAATTATATCATATAATATTATTAATCAGTAAAATGTCAGTTAATAGTATAATTGTATATGAATACTATTTTAATTTTTGATTAATGGCGCTTTGTGGGTGTAGATACCAACCGTCTTGCGGTACCAAGAAACATGTATACCAAGTTTCATAAAGATATCTCAATTTTTACTCAAGTTACAGCAGAGAATGTTAATGAATAGAGAAGACGCAAATGTTAGCTTTGCTAAAATGTTAATTGCTATGAGGGAACATCGAAAACGCGCAAGTTCGAAAACAAAATTTCACCATCCTGTCAATTTACACAACGAACTACACCACTCTATAAGCA